GGCACAGCCCCGGGGCAGAGCTGTGATGCCTAATGTCATATCCGTCACACCACTGTGTCCTTCGGGGTAACCAGAGTCATGTATGTGCCCAACGAGCAGGGCTGGGGTGAAAAGCTGTGTCCTGAGCTCACTGCTGGGTGTGTGGGTCCTCTGCACATGGTGCTTTTCATGCCTGACTCCTGCTGGTTTGTGGCAGCCAGCTCTGTCCTAAGGCTGAGGAATTTCTTTTCCCTTCCTAGGAAGAAGATCTTTTGAATGATGTGTGCAGGGAAGTCGTGCAGAAGTGGTCTGAGTCGCAGGTCGTGGATGCCAAAGAGGAGAAGGAAGGTAGTGTGCTGCTTGGGGGGGCCTCAGGGTGCTGTGCCTCACTCCTCAGTGTGGGAGTGACCTGCAGGGCCTCACCACAACGAAAACTCTGTGCTTGGCCTGGTAGGAATTAAATCAACCACTGCCCGTGTGTCTGCAGGTCTGACCTGCTTCTCATTCCAGTGCTGCTCAGTTGCTCCTTGGTCTTCCAGTGTATCATGGGGACGAGCAGTTCCACCTTGGGCTGTCCCAGCATTTGCTGCTCTTTGAGTTCATCATCTGCAGGGAAAAAACCTTTATTTATTCATTTTCCTGTATGATTTGTTTTTCTGATAGTGTTGGAACTAGATGATCTTTAAAGTCCTTTCCACCCTGAACCATTCTGTGACGTTTGTCCTTTCCCAGCAGGCCCAGGGCTGTCCCTGTCAGTGCTGTCCCTGTGGGGGGATGCAGTAGTTAGGCTATAAAACACCTGTGTTGCTTCAATTCATGCCAGTCTGGAAAGCAGCTGTTTTGTATAGCTAAAGCTGTCCCTGTGGAGCACTGGGATGTGCCTCCTGCTGCCTCACCCCAGGAAAGCATCCTTAGCTCCTTTCCCCACATCTTCTCTTAAAACTGTCCTTTTTTCCCCCCTAAATGCTCGTGGGGAAACTCTGTGTAGTTGCTGTGTAACACTGCTCCTTCCCCAGCTGTGTGTGCAGTCCCACTGCCCTGTGTCCCTGATCCATCCCTCAGTCCCAGCTGGGAGCCAAGACCTCTCACCCTCCCTCACCAGGGAGGCTTGTCCTGGTCCCTGGGCACAGGGGATCTGTGTGCTGTGGGAGGATTTGCTGGTTCAGGCACCCTGCAGAGTGACATCAGTGACATTCCAGCAGCACAGCCCTGACTGGAGCCTGTCACAATGGAACATCCCCTTGGGCCAAGTCCTGCCTGTTGTCTGCTTTGCATGTTTTTGTGGCTTCTGGTTGCAAACAGGATGTTGTTATTGCCCAATGTCACCCAGAAATGGCTCTGGCAGTGCCACTACGAGGGCTGTGCTGAGCCCCAGCTCCTCCTGTCCCTCAGTCCCAGCACAGGCCACGCAGCAGCTCACTGGCTTCCCCAGAAATTCCCTGAAGCCCATCCTTGGCCTGACCTTGCCTTTGGCTGGGCACAGGGAGAAGTTACACTGTTCTGTGCATTAAATTCCTCCTGGGAACAAGTGCCAGGGATTGCTGTCCCTGCTGCTGGGCTCCTGCTAGTGCTCACCCACGGGGACTTTCCTTGTCACAACAAGGCAGGAGAGTGTCTGAGTTGATGGAATTGAAGAGCTCCATAAAAGGATAGCCCCCCGAGGTCTGTATCTGCCCAGAATCCTGAGCATCAGTGACTGACAGGCTGAAACAACTTGGTGTCAAACCCAGATGTCACTGCAGGAAATGGGCAGCAGAACTGCAGTGGTAAATGGTAACTCAGCTGTTGGTTTCCCCAGGTTGGGAGGAGAGGGAGAGCATGGAACTGGTCCCTCACTTTGGGTTTCCAGGACTTCTCTTTGTTGGGGTTTGAAGTCCATCCTTAAATTACCTTATTAAGCAGCTTTTAGGCAGAAGAGAATGTGGAGTCCAGTGGATTTTCATCAGCCAGAGTCTGACTGATTCCAGTTCCACTATGAAACTTCCCTCACTCCTGGGAAAACAGTGTCTGCTGGACACAGCACAAGGAACTCGTCCTCGCCAGAAGCCACTGTCACCTCTCCGTGGCAGCTCCCAGCGGGAGTTGCCCACAGCAGCTGGCTTTGCCCCTGGGAGGAGGAGGAGGAGGGTGTTTTGGGGTGGGCACTGTGCCTGTGGGGCTGCAGAGGGGCAGCGTGTGGCCCCTGCCGGCTGTGGTGTGGCGCTGTGGCCTGGGCCAACGCTGCCACTCTGCTTCTGCCAGACGAGCTCCAGGCCATTGCCAGCATGATGGAGAAGCAGGCCAGGATCGTGGTGAAGCCCAAGGAGGTGTCCCAGGAGGAGAAGCAGAGGAAAGCTGCACTCCTGGCTCAGTATGCCAACGTGACTGATGAGGAGGAATATCCTTTCCCGGCACTTGGTGCTCTGAGGGACAATATCAGTTCTGAACTTCCTAAAACATCTTCCAGCTCTGCAGGGTCTGGTGGGGGCAACAGGAAGCTTTCCAGCCTTCCTCCTCCACAGTAGCTTCTGTGGACAAGGCATGGAAGCTCCTGGTTTGCGGAGTGCCACGAGCAGAGTCCTCTGAGGGTGTTTCTCCCCACGTGGCTGTGTGCCCAGCCCAGAGAGCAGTGAATCGCCTCCCGTACCTCTGCACAGCACTTGGTGCTGAGTTTCTCTCTTGCTCTCCGAGGAGAAATCTGATGTAATCCTTTGCAGAGAATGGGGAGTGGGAGGGCTTGAAGGTAGCTCTGGTGCTGAGGAGGAAGCCAAGTGAGCTGGAGGGAACCACACTGGGCACTGGGGCAGTTGGAGCTGAGGGCCTGGATGTGCCTGTGAGAAATCAGCTGCTTCCTCCTGGCTTGATGAAATGGGCCTGTTGGGAGTGAAGTGTGACTGTAGAGAGAGGCACAAGTTCCTTCTGATGTCCATGTTTCCTTAATTCTCTCACTGGTGAGGATGACCAGGATGGATCCACTGCGACTGCAGCGAACATTGGATCAGAGAAATGTATCCTTTGCCTTCCTGGTGCCTTGGGCTGCTTGGCAGGCAGGCAGCCTCCAGGATGAGTGCCCCGTGCCCATCTCCTGTTTCTTTAGGGTCACCTTTGAAGCTTGGGGAGCCATTTTTCCTTCCCTGTAGCCTGACCTTGCTGGTAGTGACAGTGACGGGTCTATCTGCTCCCACCTCATGTGCAGTGCTCACGCTGACCCTGCCATGGCTTTCCCCTCCTCTGTCTCTTCCTTCCCTCTTCCACCCTCTCCAGAGCTTCACGGAACACACTTATGGATAATTCTTCCAGAACATCAGGTTGATGTTACATGGTGTCCAGAGAGGGAAATCATGGGAGGAATGAGACTCACCAGGCCTGAACACGCAGGGTGGGCAGGACCAAGTGTCCCCTGTCTGTCTCAGCACAGCTCTGGGACAGTCCTTAAGCTCTAACACAGAAGCAGTTTTATCAGGTAATTAGGAAGTGAATTCTATATTCCTTTCTCCAGTCCTCCCTGCCCAGTTCCTTACCTGCCTGGTGAGGAAGCAGAAGTGGGAGGTGGGAGGGAGGTGGGGGAAGAGCCACTGCCTGGTGCAGCCTCAGGCAGAGCACTGAGCCCTTAGCCCAGCCCAGCTCTGTTCCGCAACACCAACGTGGAGGATGTGCTGAACGCCAGGAAGCTGGAGAGGGAGCTGCTGCGGGATGAGTTCCAGAGGAAAAAAGAGCAGGATAAACTGCAGAGGGAGAAGGACAAGTTGGCCAAGCAGGAGAGGAAGGAGAAGGAGAAGAAACGGACACAGAAGGGCGAGCGGAAGCGATAGCTGGCGATTCCCCGTGG